GATAGATAGATAGATAGATAGATAGATAGATAGATAGATAGATAGATAGATAGATAGATAGATAGATTTTTATAATTTAGCATTTAAACAAATAAACAAATGCACATGTGCATAAAAACTGTACCACATGTTAAATTTTGAAAAAATAAGCACACTCTGCAAATTGAAGCTGAATGTAGAAGCCAGATGGTAAAAATAAATTAGAATAATATCATAAATTCATAATCACATAAGTCTGTTTTTCAGTGCTGGAAATCAAAAGAACACAAACTTGTCAATATTAAATAGATCATTTGATAACTGATTAATCAGTTTTTGTACTTTATTAAAGAAAAAAGTCAACGTTTCTGATTCCAGCTTCTTAAATGTGAATAATATCTTTGTGTTGTGGAAAAACAAGAACTGATCAACTCATGTCACCATTTTATCACTTTTTCCACATCAAACAACTCACAATTAATCAAGGAAATAACTGAGTTACTAGTCAATAATGAGAATGATAATTAGCTGAAAAGCAGCTTTATAAAGCAAAATGACATTGTACAGCATTGTGTCACAATAAAAAAAAAATAAAAAGGCTCTTAAGATGTGCTTAGGTTGCATAAAGTGCCTCCATTTTTATATGATTATTATTTTAATAATGTCTAAATAAGTTAATGTATAGCTAAATATATTTAATTCCAGTGTTGTTTAGATTTTGTTTGATTTCTTTCATCACTTCATTGACATATTTTCAGCCTCTTAAGGCTTCACCGCCTGCCTGCACTAATGTGTGCCGCATTCAAGCTCACTGGAAACAAACCATGACTCTGCATTTCTGACATAACTCCTGTACAGTTTCGGCTTTACAGTCGATTGCTGGCTTTATGTCCACAGGCTCCATGGAACACAGTTGATGAACAGCACACCATTTGCTTCGTGTTCGATAGTAAACCAAACACCGTGTCATATCACCCAAACATCCAACCGCTCATTTAATTCCATGACTAATTCCCTGAAGACTTGTGAGGCCTGTGATTATCTCTTTTATTATCTCTTTCAACATTTATGTCATCAAGAACATTCATCTGGTCCTGCTAATTTGTTTTCCTAGAAGTGAACCAAACTGTGTCATATCTGAGTCAGTTTGGATTCACAGTCAAGGTTCATCAAAAGCCACCACAGTTCCCATGTGCAGAGATAATGACTACTTGAAAGCTGCTCTTCAGCTCTGAACCCTGTTTCCAAGAAAAAATGTTCACATCAACCATGTTTCCCGTGAGGTATGAAAGCAGCAGAACGCGCAGCTGAAGGCTTCTGAGTACAGAGGCTTCCTGGAAAACACACACAACAAATTGACCTCTACTACTGAGCCATGAGCCCTGCTGCTGCCTGCCTGCATGACTGTATAGCTGCCACTCACACGCATATACGTTCACAGGGACGGAAATGAGGACAGGCAAAGGCTAGGAAATACAGAAAATGCTTTATTGTAGAACCATGTAAAACAACAGCCCCCTTCTGAGCGCAGCCAAACCTCGATCAGATGACCGATGAAGGCAACTGTAAATGTGACGTGAATGAATTTATATCTGGAGAAGCGTGATCCGTGGGAACAGCATAAGCAATATAAAGAGTAATCCGCCATAAAGCAGAAATGTCACAGCAATTTCTCACTGATCTCAATGAGCTGAATCAATTCTAAGTGAAGTAATCAAAAAAAGAAAAGTAGAGTGCGGAGCGGGGAGGTGACGACAGTGCTTTCATTGAGCAATTGGCAAATGTAAATCAAATGAATATCAGAGGCCTCACTCTTCATTAAAAGTAACCCTTTAACCCTTTAACATCTGGCCCTGTAAGCGTGTCATATTTCATACCCTTGAGGTTTTCTACATCCTCAGTGTGGTCTATATTTTTTTTGATGTATACAATCAGACATGTGCAGTGCACCGATAATCCACCGTAGATCGTAATTCATGCACCAGAAATGCCAGATGTAGCATAAGTGATACAAACTAAATGCAAATTGATATTAACTTTTTTGTTGTTGTCGTCAGAAGGTTCAATAAACACTCCAGTTTCAAAAAATGTGGATTTTCTGCCAATTATTTCACGGTTCAGGTTTTACGTGGTTTGTTTTCATCTGAAGTCACAGCTCAAAGCGGTGACACTTCCTTTCGATTAAGTTCGACACATCACTGCAACTTTAACTTTTTTACTCATTGTTTTTGTGAAGGCAGGCTAGCTGGTTTATGCTAAGCTAGGCTAAACTAGCTGCTGGTTGTAGCTTCAACAGCTTTATCTACCTGTATCACATCTCTGGCTTCTCTGCTGCATTCACTGGGAATATTTTTGATATTGTGTGCATTATTTCATACAGTCTGACATATTTGGTAACTTCTGAAGCACATGGATCTCTGCTAGAACCTCAGTGACAATGTTCTGGATCTGCACAAACTTTGGCTGCACAGCAGGGAATTTATATCTGCAAAACGATGCAACGCCAACGTAAAAATGTGCAGATCTAGAAAGTTTATTCATGAATACACTCTGCTTTATGGTGGATCCTCATTTTCAGGGTGAAAGGTATGTCTTTGAGTAAAAATAAAGAAGCAATGGCTAGAAGCTAAACAGTCAAATAACAAGTCAATTCTTAGATATTGTGTCAGTTTGCTTGTGTGTTTACGAGTGTGTGTGGTGTCTAATTTTCTTCCCCGTTCTCCCCCGCACCCTTGATGAGGCGTTTGTTGCCCCTCTTCCCTCCTGGTCCGCGGGGCTTGGCAAAGGCCTGCTTTAAGGTGTGCTCCATTGGGTGGACCTCCTCATACAGGAAGTCTTCTGTCAGACCGTCACCACTGTCTATTTCCATCTATGCAAATGCAGAGAGAAGATTGGACAGTGTATGTAAATCCCGGCGTCCTTGATGACAGTGAAACCACCGGTTGTTTGTCTCTCTGTGGGTGATTCGGCAGACTTGTACCTTTTTGATGACGTCCAGCTGGTAGTCTCTCTCCACCTCATCCAGTAGCCTGTTCTTACAGCTGGAGTACAGCATCCGTTCCTTGATGCTACAGGTGTAGCCAGGCATTGAATATATGAACACTGGAACAGACATGAACAGCTGCTCAACTAATGTACATCAGTTTTTGCTCTGTTAAGCCTCTTTGGTCATTTGACACAGAAACCTGAATCAGATATTAAAGTTAACATGAACAGTCTGTATTACATACAAATGAACACGTGAATGCCAGGTGCAGTTCCTCGAATGGCCACTTGAGGCTGGCTCCAAAATTGAGTCATTGACCCTCATCTTAAAACGCCCAACTTCACAGCAAAAATGACCATGTTTACAACCTGGCACCAAAAGTGGTCCTAGTCTCTGTAGCTAATTTCCCTGTTCGGGTCAACTGTACAGCGGTGGATCGTTTACATAACTCACCCGTTTAAAGTGTATCAAGGCTGAAAGTTATGCATAGTTAAGGCTGGCAGGTGGGTGCCGTCATAGGACAAGAAACTTTTGCATGGTTCACTTCAGCTCCATTAACACTCCACCTTTGTTTTTTGTGTCATGTTTTGGATTAGCTGTGGGGTCGACCAAATCAGGGACTGCCGAAATAGAAACCACCACAATAAGCATCAGAACTGCTGTTCAGGAACCCTATGTGTGTGTCGTCCATCTTTGTATACGGTCTATTGTTAGAACCAGCGGGAAAACAGCGAAACATCCAACAGCTAAACAGAGGAAGACTACTCCCCAGGAAACAAAGCTCTGAGAAACATTTAGAGATGTACAGGTCGTCACTGTGAGAAGTTTAGCATCTAAAAGGTGCATTACGTTGATTTTTGACTTTGACTGTATATGTAGTTTCACTCCCGCCCACCAAAAGGTAAGGTGTTGCAACACCACTGAAATACACTTTAATATGTATCATAGACTACATAAAAGCCCATCCATTGGTTTGTGGACTTTTGTTCTGAAGTTTAGCACTTAGCCATTTTGTTCTCTTGAAGCTGGACGTGATGATTGAGAGGTGGATCTGACTTATGGATGCCAATATGTTTGTCGTAGCCACACCCCAAAGCACACCTTGTTTTACTCTTTGATTGACTCTAAATGGGACCATATCTTGCTAAATGAACACCATGCTGTTTTAAAGGAAACTTGTGTGATGAGTATGAACTTGTTTTATTATTTGTGAGGATCTTTGCCTCTCGTTTGGTGCTGGGGTTTTTCGGCTGGGGGTGTGTTTGTGGTCCAGGCTGGACGGGGCTGGCTGGAGGAGGATGCTCCCACACTCAGGCACCTGCAGCTTATCTGGTGATGAGGCACTGGTTAAAGCCTCACTCCACCTCCAGTGCCAGACGATTATCGACTCTCTGAGCGGTACTTCAGGCCGCTAGCTCTCGTGTGTGTTCCTTCGTGAGTTTTGCTTGAAGCTAGTTTCTTGAGTAACCTCCAGTGGATCGCTGCCCAGCCTTCACCCAGCCACTCCTAACCCGCCTGCACTCAGCCCCACGAGTTTTGGATTCCGGTTCACGAGCACTGACACCATATTCCCCTCCAGCACGCCTCCACAGAACCCCAGACCCCCCACCTTGGATCCCACTCCCTGCTTCCTGGTGTCCCTCACTCCTAGCTCCCTGAATAAAACCTTTAATTATTGTTTAACCTGTCTCCCTCTCGCTTTTGCGTCCAAACTTCCACCACAAGGCTTCTAAGCCGTCACAGATTGGGACTATAAACTCATTAAAAAAACTGTTTACTAAGGTAACAAATCCATTGAGAAGTAGAGTCATTTTCTCATAGACCTCCATAGAGTCTGACTTCTTTTTCCAACCAGAGATGTTGCCCCCTGCTGGCCATCGGAAAGACTACACGCACATTCTGTGTTGCTTCACTTCTCAGACCTGAGGCTGTCATTTATTTACAGTCTGTGGTGTGTGCACGATAAGTAAATGCATCATTGTTCACTCAGGCCGATGTTCGGTGCTAATTCAGGTTGCCTTCAGTTCAGTTACTTGTCCCAGCTGTTACACTGAGTTCAGTTGCACAACTGCTGTAAATGAGGATAGAACGGCTCGGCAGCTTGTTCTGCACAGTGGAGTATCAGGTTCTTGTTTCTGTGACGTCTTTAAATACGTTTTAGTGAAGGGCGAGGCGTGCGGTAAATTGCACTGATATGATTCAGTCAGTGATGACTCAGTCTTGTTAATTCACTTTGAACATTCATTCATACATGTACTAAACATCTCGAATATGGAGCACGGCTGGTGAATATAAAAGCCACTCTACTTTTAGCTCTACTTAGTTCAATTCCTGTCTTCTCCTTGTTCATACACAAAGTGGAGTTTCTGTGCGATGGATTGTTAATACTTGGCTATGTTCAGAGAGTTTGCATGCTCCCACAGATCCTTCACCCCACATCTCCCCTCTCTTTCCATGGAGCATGAGCAGGACACGGTACTGCTGCATCGGTGCGAGCCAGTTTGTGCCCCATTTGTCCTGAGTCTTTTCCTAAAAGTTTTCCTTGAGCTTGATGGAAAACATCATGAAGCCAAGGACAGATGTGAAGACAGTCATGGAGCTAAAAGAATCCAAGTCCAGTCTGGAATCTGACATCCTGCGTCTCCACATGGTCCTCCAGCTGCAGTCCATCAGACAGAAAAGCCCTGCAGAGGATCATCAGAGGAGCTGAGAGGGTCATCGGAGTTTCCCTCACCTCTGTCCAAGAACTTTCCTCAGAGCTGCTGCAGGAGCAGGATGCTAAACACTGTCAGGGACTCCTCAGACCCTCTCCATGATCTGTTTGAACCGCTACCATCAGCGTTAAAGGAAGAACCTCCAGACTGATCAACAGCTTCATTCCACCAGCTGTCAGAATGCTGAACTGCTGATCCAGATGTGCAAACACTTGTTTATTTAAATTGCTTTAAGTTATTGAATCCTGAAGAAACGCTCTCTCATCTTGCTTGTACTACTGTGCATGTACAGCAACATGACAATAAACTTGATTTGATTTGTAATCATGTGACAGTGGACAGTGATGATGTGAGTTTGCTTTGAATGCTGCCACTGCAAGGAATTCTGGGACAGCACAACCTTCAATTTCCTTTTGGACCAGTGATTCCTAGGCTAAAACAGATCAGAAAAGGAAGAACTGAAGCAGCTTTTCTTAGCAGTTGGAAAGTTCCAGAGAGCATTGCCACACAGTTAAGACCTGTTCTGAGCAAAAAGTGCAACTTAGATCAGAAGTACAAAAAGATCAGCCTGCAGACTGTACGGAGATATTCACAGATTTCGACCGTGTATTAAATTAGAATCACGTACTCCATCTCTGCAGCTTTAAGCATGAGGTTGGCTCTTGACATGGAGTCACTTGACAAGAAGACGAAGTTATGGGACATACTGAGACTAACATCCAAATTTAGAATTTCTGTATGATTGTTGTGGAGCTCCATCCCGTCTTATGACACCTTAAAGTACATTTATAGAATCTTTATCAGATACTGAATAAGTAGAGGCACTGATGACAGTTTACTGACCCAGCGCCTCCTGCAGCTGGCCCTGGTGGGAATGTTTGAAGATGAAGAAGTGGTATCTGGGCGAATCCGTGGGAATCCTGTAAGGAAGCTCGTGGGTTTCTGTAGCTTTGGTGTGAACCAGCTCAATGGTCTCTTTCTCTACATCCAGCCTCTGCAACACAACATACACAAGCAAGCTTTGTTCAGGGGTCAGGTCACGTACAACCAATTTCTCTGCATTTCTACAGCTATAGTGTCGCAGGAAGTGTGTTGCACTTTGCACACCGTGTAATGAGTAATAAATATTTTCTGTCACCAGCTGTATGTAGTTGATGCGCTTCTGCTTGAGCTGCTGCAGAGCTCGTTTGGCCTCTTCTTGTAAAGGGAACGCAAGACCCTGAAGAGTCTGTGCCCTTTTGTCTAAGCCAAACTCCATCGTGACCTAGAGGGGAAGAAAGAAATACGATATATTTCTACTGGTTTCTACACAGAAAAATTACGTCTGTACAGAGAACTTAACAAACCCTCGCCCGTGCCGTTGGAGTCCCGATTCGTCTGCGTTCATCCTGTGGACATAAGAGACACCTTTTATAAACCTGTCCCTCCCCAAAGCACACTTGAATCCTTGGATCAGAAAGAAAATCAACTCACCCATACGACTTTATCCTGCAGGGGAAGAAGTGGAACACGTAATTCCCACAACAACTTAGGTTTGTGGTTCTTATTATATTTAGACAAAAATGCACTTTCTCATGTGTACCTCTGTGACTTTGATTCGTTGTAGCTCCTGCTCGGCTGCTGTGAGTGGAGCTGGGGAGGAGCAGGAGGAGTTGTGTCGCAGGTATCCCTGGAAGCAAAGGTCATCCTGCAAACAGAGGGACGCCATCAGTGAGAACGTTCACTGATCAGTCACTGTGCTGCAGGGATTTTACAAACCTCGACTGTGCCAAACATCTCGTCTTTGATGTGGCCTCCTCCAAACTCTTTCTTCAGTGTGGCACGAGTCGCTGCGTACACCATCTTCTGCCTCACCTGGAGGACACCAGGACAGACACAATGAACATTAACCAGTTATTACAGCCTATAGGAGTCTGCATTTCTTTGGCTTTCTATAGTCCGTAACTAGATTTTGGATTTAGCATTTTTGTGTGTTGTTCTGAAAGACGGTTTGATAGTTTTTTTTAAAACCAACGTCCACGAAAGTAAAACTATTTTCCTTCCTGCTGTGTCAGATTCTGTTCCTGCAGAGTTAGAAGGTTGTTTTCAAATTCATCTGCTGAAAGTTTGTCTATACTTACCTTAATGGGAATTTAACATCCTTATATACAAGTTTGATAACATTAAAATCAAATTAGACACAAATTATTATTTAAAGATTAATATTTTTGGAGCAGATCTTCAAATAGAATAATCTAAAGTACTCCTAAACACAACAGCTTTTTCTGTTGGCTTTATGTAATTTGTGATCAGGTATTAATGTTTATTTTTGGTAGAAACTGATATTTAAAGGCAGTAGTGTGAAGTAACTAAGAACATTTACTTTGTGTACTACTTTTTACATCTACTTCACCACAATTCAGGCAAATATTGAACTTTTTACTCCACTACATTCATTTTATAATTTCAGTCATCAGTTACTTTACCAATTCAGATTCATAATACAAAATATAATCAACAAATAAGTTATTATGCAGTAGTTTTATTAGATGAAAGATAAAACCTTATTTATCTCTACAGGGAACAAACTACCTGTCAGTGAATGAAGTGATTAAAATCAGCTTCACCTGCATTAAAGTGATGAACACATGAACGTATCAACAAATATAAAATACTCATTCTAAAATGCGTGATGCAGTACTTTCGTGTGTGCTACTATAAGAATTACTTTTGTACTTCAAGGTAAGTAAAACTGTGAATGCAAGACTTTTACTAACAGTATTTCTACACTGTGGTTTTGTTATTTTTACCAAAGTACATGATTTGACTCATACTTCCTCAGTTTAAAGGTTAATTAATAGGTAAATTAAATTGGTGTTTTTCCTTCTTGTTCTCTCTGCATTTGAAAAGTGTGGAACTAAAGCTAAAGCCAGTCTCTCATTCGTTTGATTGCTGGGTTTGGATTCAAATTCAAAGCTTCAAATGTGTTTCCTGCAGGTTTTGTGTAAAAGCATGTTAATAAAGATATTCTCAAAATCTTTGTTTCCGTGTGTGATCAGTGAATCTAAGCATAAATTTAAAATGTGCACAAACAGAGAATTTAGTTGCATCCTTTAGTGAAGTCTTGTCTACATTTCCACTTTATAACTGTGTTGTGTAGTTGTTGCTCTGTTGTTAATTTAATTGTGATTACAGAGTGGCTGAACTTGACTGACGGCTGATCACACGTACTGGTGACTGGTCAGGTGACCAGGCGATGAAGATCCACTCGTATCCCTGTGCATTCTGGGAGTCCAGACGGTAGAGGATGTAGCAAGGCTCCTGCGGTGTGAGCAGAGGAAGCAGGAACTGATCGTAGTCCTTGTCCCAGGTCTGCGCTGGTTCCCTGCATGAATCCAGCACCAGCTCCTCTGTGGAAAGAACAAACATCTCATCTCTGGGACTCAGTCGGGTGTGGGGTCACTTCTGTCACATGCTTCTGAATACGAGAAACATTCACCGTTTCTGATGATGATCTTCATTATTCTGATGGCACCTCCCCTCGCTCGGGCCAGAAACTCTTTCAGCTCAGATGTTGCTGAAGTAACCAGATATAAGGCAGACAAGTCAAAACTGAGGATGGGGGGTTGAAAGCAAGTGAGACAGAGTTGGGTAAGTAAGAACCTGTGACTCCACTTCAGGGAGAAAATTTGATCCTCTGCCAGGTAGTCACACTATCACCTAAAGTGACTCATGGAGCGGACGTATGCAGCAAAGAACCGCTGACAGATTCGAGTTCGACTGATGAAGCAGCTTCATTATTCCTCACTTTTTTTTAAAGCCCTGGATGTTATTTTATCACGTAATGCTTGATTTAGCTATGTGTTGTACTCCCTTCTTCTCCCTCGCCATGGTTACCAAACACAGTCCTCTCATAAATGATGTAAGATCAGGTGAGAAAGGTGAGAGAGGTATGCTTCCGTCAACCCGCCCCTCTACGCTCCGATTACCAAATGCCATAACACACATACGTGCACGCTGCTAATAAACTGCTTCTGAATATCTGCAGGTGCTGCTCATCACTGATATCACATATTTCCTGAATAAGTCTAAAACAGGTTGATTTTCGATATCATAAATGTTTAACCTCTACAGCTCACAGTTATTTATTTTTACACAGGAGACATGAAGTTGATGAGGTCACCACTTCATCTGAAAAGCAGCTTTTGGAGCAAAACATGAAACACCAGAGAACATCCTCAGTGAGGCTGTGAAGTTATTTGGTGCAGCTTGAAGGTTTTCATAAAGAAAAATAAGAATTAAAAAAAAAAACATTCAAATTGAACTTGGGGACAGCTCGATAAGTTTCCATCCAGAAAACAACAAGTGCTACTTACCGTTGATTCCGGTTTGGTGTGACATCTTTTGGCAGTCAGTTTTCACCGTTCCACACTCCTCTCATGCAACAAGGACCAGGTCCAGGTCTCTGTGTCCTCGCTCCTCTTGCTCAGCAGGTAGGCTGCCTCTCCACTGATGGCAGACAGATGGACCCACGCGCACCAGTGACACAAACGCCTCGAGGGCGACTCGGGAGCTTCCTAACACTTGAAACACAATCTGCGGAACTGTGGCTGATGAGTAATAACGTGCCTGTCAGTGGATATGCCACCCTGACCACTGATCTAAAACTCTTTGCGTATCGATGACCACATCTTTAATAGTCTCGGCGGGGGAGGCTTGTCGCCGGTCACATACTGTTCCCGTGCTGTACCCTGTGTGAGGCTGTGCAGAAGCCTCAGTGTTTTCAGATGCTGTGCCACATGTAATGACATTTTATCACTCATTCACATAGAGTGGCTGATCAGCTCGAGCAGACGCAACGGCATGATCTCAAATTCCAGCCACCTGGTCACAGAAATGTGACACCCAGTGAGAATCTGAGCGGGGAGGGGTGTCCAGGTATTAGTGGTTCGTATATTTTGTGCTTTTGATTGACAAGGTTGCCTTTAACAGTTAATAAAAAGGCAAAAAAAAGGGCAGAAGCCTTAAACGACTCCTTATTCTACAGTATGACAGGAAGAGGTTTCTTATGACAAGATAGAAATGCTGCTAATACATAAGTGTGACACAAAGAGCTCGTTAGAATTGGCTCTGAACATTCTTTATCAATGGATCTATCACTAACAAACTCACTCAGATATCACAAATGAAGGAGAGCACAGTCACTGGTGGGGCAGATGGAACACGTTGGTTAAAAAGTTGGTAAAAATGTGCCATGTGACTCCCTAAATTAAACTATCACACCTTATTTCCTCTGTTTGTCCTTCCACACTCGCCTTTTAGCACACATGCGGAGGTGGGTGAGAGAAAGATAAGTGTGTACCTGTGAGGTTACCTGTGATGGGATCATCCATTATTCACTCAGTGGTGAGTACACAACCCAAGCATCTATACATTATTCAACATGGCTCCCACCCCTCTCCTCCGACTTCAGGAAGACACACTTTATGTGCACAAAACACCTGTTGATCAAACTGAATAAAGGCGCCCGCATTTCTGTCGCGTTCACACGTGTGTTCACAGATTAGCCGACGGACTTTTGTTTGCATCGGTTAGTGCAGAGTCATTGTTGTGACAGTCGCCGGTACACTAATCCTACAATCATCCAAAAAGGTAACTTTAGAAACACACTTAATTATTTATGGTGTTTAAGGTTGTAATGGTACATATACAAAGAGCAGCTTTACCATAATCAGTGTTTCGAATTAGAAAAAAATGGGAAAATTGACATTTTCTTACTGAATGCGCCCCATCTGTTGGCGCTATATGAAGCTAAAAGACTCCGTCAATTAGTGACTCAATAGAATATGATTTGACAAA